TGCGTGCGTGTGGGCGGGCGTTTTTGTGATTGATGAGGACACAAATTTGTATAATGACATAGGTATTACAACGAGAAGGTGATTTATGAGGACATTTTGAGTGTCCCCATATTTCAAAAGGCTTATAAATCATTCAGAATGAGTTTTTTTTGAAAATCTAAAAGTGCAGAACGTTTCCTGTAAGGTTTAGGTGTAGGGCGATAGAAAATATGGTTTGTACAGTATAAAAACCATTACACCTATGGAGAGTCCCTACAATTCACAAAAACAAACCTGTGTGTGTGTGTGTGTGTGTGTGTGCGCTAAAATACCAACATAACAAATCCTGCAGAATGCACTAGATGACATCAATTTCATTTTAAATTATGATACAAATGTTTTTGGGTGAGCGGGTTAAATAATTAATCTAAACTCTAACTGAAGTGAGTGGGCTATTTACTCTCTTTTCAAATTATTTTCATCCTTTTTTGCTCTTTATCTATTTTTCTCTCTCTCTCTGAACATCCTTTCAGTGTTATAAACTGTTTGGGATATGACGGTCTGACATCGCCACTAAAAATACTAATGAACAAAAAAGACTCGCAGAAATAGATAGACGAGGGCGGCAGTGTAAAATGACTGATTGTGAAACTTAGTCAGTGAGATGAATGTGACAGAAAGATGGGAAGGCTCTAATAATTACTATAAATGGAAATGCTGGGATTTAAGGAAGCACAACAAAAACATTGGTTATAATTAGTGCTTTGACAAGGACATACAGTGCTGCTTGAAAGTTCGTGAACCCTTTAGAATTTTCTATATTTCTGCATAAATATGACCCAAAACATAATTAGATTTTCACACAAATCCTGAAAGTAGACAAAGAGAATGCAGTCAAACAAAGGAGACAAAAATATATACTTTGTAATTTATTTATTGAGAAAAATTATCCGGTGTTTGTGAGTGGCAAAAGTATGTGAATCTTTGCTTTCAGTATCTGGTGTGACCCCCTTTTGCAGCAGTAACTGCAGGTAAAGTTTCTTGTAACTGATGATCAGTCCTGCACAACAGCTTGTAGGAATGTTAGCCCATTCCTCAGTACAGAACCACTTCAGCTCTGTGATGTTGGTGGGTTTCCTCCTATGAACTGCTTGCTTCAGGTCCTTCCACAAAATTTCAATTGGATTAAGGTCCGGAATTTGACTCAGTCATTCCAAAACATTAGCTTTGTCCTCCTTTAACCATTCTTTGGTAGAACGACTTGTGTGCTTGGGGTCGTTGTCTTGCTGCATGACCCACTTTCTCTTGAGATTCCGTTCTCGGACAGATGCCCTGACATTTTCCTTCAGAATTTGCTGGTAACATTCAGAATTCATTGTTCCATCAATGATGGCGAGCCATCCTGGACCAGATGCAGCAAAACAGGCCCAAACCATGATACTGCACCACCATGTTTCACAGATGGGATAAGGTTCTTATGCTGGAATACAGTGTTTTCTTTATCTAAACATAACACTGCTCATTTAAACCAAAATGTTCTATTTTGTCTCATCCATCCACAAAACATTTCTCCAGTATTCCTCTGGCTTGTCCACATGATCTTTAGCAAACTGCAGACGGGCAGCAATGTTCTTTTTGGAGAGCAGTGGCTTTCTTCTTTTGACTCTGCCATGGACACCATGGTTGTTCAGTGTTCTCCTGATGATGGGCTCATAAACATTAACATTAGCCAATGTGAGAAAGGCCTTTAGTTGCTTAGAAGTTAGCCTGCAGTCCTTTGAAACCTAGTGGACTTTTACACGTCTTGCTTTTAGAGTGTTCTTTGTTGGTGGACCACTCCTGGGGAGAGGGTAACAGTGGTCTTGAATTTCCTCCATTTGAACACAATCTGTCTGACTGGATTGGTGGGGTACAAACTCTTTAGAGATGGCTTTGAAAACTTTTCTAGCCTGATGAGCAACAGCAACTCTTTTTCTGAGGTCCTCAGAGATCTCATTTGTTTGTGCCATAATACACTTCCACAAACATGATCAAACTTTGATAGATCCCTGTTCTTTAAATAAAACGGGGCACACACTGACACCTGATAGTCATCTCACTGATTAAAAACACCTCTGAACAGATGGA